TTGCAGTCAGTCTTTTACAATTTCTTGGTAAAGAAGAGAAAAGTATTTATTGAAGGTAGTTGACAAGCATAGTTCTTAAAATCATAACCCAAATTTGCTCCTGGGCATTATAGCTAAAGACAACTGTGCCACAGACACAATAGACCCTACAATAGACAGTGGATTCACGAAAACCAAACAAATGTCTCCTTTCAGTCGTTTTGCAGTTCTCATTGTTTTGGCCTTGTGATTCACAGCTTTACAAACACAGATGCATTTGATTTTCTTCTGAGGAGCAGGCACAATGTTATACGTAAATGCATTTTGTAGTCACACCTTTTGTCTTAAATTACCAAATCATGTTTGTTCACCCAATCTGTTGAGACCATCACAATTAAGAAACCACTGAAGTTTCCTAAAAAAAATTTATTGTAGTTTACATACTTTCTTTTCTTTGGTGAATATGGAGGATGGATGCGAAAGTAGTACGTTTGTAGTGTTTGACATTGTTCATGTTTCCATTTCCACATGGAAACGATTCACAATGGTAAGCTTGTAATAATGTTTTAGAATTTGAGTGGTTCGGGTCATTTGCTTTGCGTCATTACGTCACGTCTGTATACATAAAGAATGAGTCCCGGCTAGAAGGCTATATAGCGTGTGTGGATGCTGCAGGTGGCGGTTCATTTGTAGCCTCTTCTTACAGCAGCTGGAATAATTAATCTTGTCATTTTGAAAATAGAGTCTTAAACGGTGCATGATGGTAATGAAACACATGTAAGTGACTGAAATTACATTATATTCCAGTTTTAAATGTGCATCTGACTGATCTGATTACAGATAGATGGGGTTACACTGTACTTACAAAACATTTTGTATTTCAAAGAGAACGAGTTCTAAGGAACATTAAATTGCTTTTTGAGGTTAAAAGAAGAATTTGTTCCGATGACATTTGAATGGTATGACATTTTTAGATTAGACTACAGAAATTGAGTTCTACAGGTAATGCTAATACACACTAAATACACGTAGTCACACAATGTTGAGGTTGTTAACATTAACAATTTGAGAACAAAGTATAACAATAATATTAATTTGCACAGTTTGACGTGATCTGATCTTACTTTGCGATCGTTAGATTTAATCACCATTTGTAGCGCGATTTATTGTGAAACTTTTTTCTTTTTTTTCAGTTTGTCAGAACAAAACTGGCAGACATTTTACGTACTTGTTCAGATTAGTGTTGTCACGGTACCAAAATTTCAGTATTCGGTACCGATACCAGTGAAAATCCATGGTTCTCGGTACCAATTTCGGTACCAAAGCAAAACACAAAAACATGCTAATTGAATAACATTTTTATTAATAACGTTAAACAAAAATTAAATGTACAAAACCAATGCCATTCTTTATACTTATTTAAAAGTGTTTCAAGTTTTCCCACAAGTAATAAAAGTATGAAAAAAGTAAACAAGTTTCACCCAAAAGTTGAGTCATATTTCTGCTGCCACTGAAAAACATCTGTAAACTGTTGTCTGTTTTAGGGTTTGCTGGTGTGTTTCAGGATCTTGCTCAGTCTGCAGCTGTGAAAGGAAAATATAATATACTTCAGTAAATGCAACATAAGATCATTGACACCAGCTAAAATATAACTTTTCAGTAAATAACAAACCTCAGCTTTTATAATAAATTTAGATAAGATTACAAATATTAAGTGTATATCAAATAGATGGAAACTGTAGTATTAAAAACACTTTACAATAAGATTTTATTTGTTAGATAACATGACCTAACAATAAACAATAGTTATATGGCAATTATTCTTCTTAGGGTT